CCACCATCTACTCTGCGCTACAGGAGACCAGCAGCACGGCCCCTGGCCAGACAGATCCGCTCAGGAGGCCAGCACTAACCCTATTTCTTGCAGCCACGTGGCTCACCCCGAGCGCTCTGGGAATTTGCACCGAGGTGTCTGAAGGGCTTGGGACCGCAGCTGCCAACCCCACCCTGCCGCTGCCGTCCACGGCCCGCTGCGCTGAAAGCACTCGGGGTTTACCTTAACACACCGAGCTGTGAGATGCGGTGGCTGAGGAGAGGACAAGCCCAGGGCAGAGCAGACAGCTGCAGGAGGAACCGGCAGCTACTGGCAGCAACCGCCTGAATCAGTCCTGCACTGGTCTCCCAACATCTCGCAGAGGCACCGCCGAGGAAACCAGGGATAAAGCGGAGGGCTGCATCCAGGCCTGCCAGCCTGTGCCCTAGCAGCAGGAACACAGCCAACTCCGCATTAAGAAAGGGGAAATAACAGCAGAAAGCCTTGCGCTCACCCTGCACCTAGGTCAGAAAGCAGAGACACTCAAGTATAGCTGAACTGGATTTTTTCAGGGTTTAGTGGGGGAAGAGCACCAGGGAAAACCCCTCCAGGTGGCTGCACCAACATGCTCACCACTCAACCCTCAAACCGTCACGACTGCTTTCGTATTAAGTGACTCAATGTAAAACCAGCATGATCTGTTATCGTTGCCCCTCAAGCAATGGGACAGGTTCCCCAATATGATGCTGGCTCTCTAGCCTGCAAGGAAACAGTAAATCAGACCTAAATAGCTGGTTTTTGTTCCCAGAATCATGCAAGTCTATCAATGTGAATTCCTGAAGCCAGACCACAAGGTCGTCCCCCATTTAAATTTTGTTTCCAAGCAAGCAGGCATTACTGGATGCTACAGTTTGTTGCTTACATACAAAGGAGATTGTGTTATGTATAGCAAAGGGAAGGAAATCTTTCCAAGGTTCCCTTCCTGCAGTTTTTGCTTCAATTGTTCCATCAAGGAAGGGACTGTCACTGGTGTTAACATGATGGCTCACAAGTGACATCTTTCGCCTGCCCTCACGCATTGTTGAATGACCCAGCAAAGCACGAAAGCAGTCCATACAGAAGCTCTGGATCACTCCTGAGTCCCTGCAGGATCTGTCCTGTCAGCTCCTCTGTCAACGCACAGAGGTGCTCTGCTCTCAGGAATCTGTCTGCGACCCAAACCCTACCCCCCCCTCCCTTCCAAAATCCAGCAGCCTCATGTTTGGTGACTGCCATTTTTTAAAGCAAAAGCACCTGATGATATATGTAGCTATAGAGCTAAAAGCAAAAATTCCACCAATCTAATGTAGCCCTCATTTAAAAAACGCACCCTCCTCTGGGCACAGAGAAGAGCAAAACTGGCAATTCAGCTACACATGCGTATTTTACAAGGTAGCGGCCATAGCCAAACCAGGCCTTAGATATGCTTTGTAAAAGCATTACAGTAGCATCTAAGTTCAAAAAAGCAATGTGCAATTCAGACCACTTGCTGCACAGGGCTGGATTGCTACACCATCAGCAGAGAGAACTGTCCTGGGCTTGCTCTACGTGACAAGGCCCAGGCAGACACCAACTTGTTCTGCTGTCTTCCAAGACAATCAAAAGACATACGAAAATGCAGGCAAGGCTTGCATATGCTTGCCCAAAACACCACGTGTAGATGTGCCACTGGCAGACTTGGCCCAGAGGACTTGGCCCTGGTTTTTTATTTCGGGCGATAACCCTTCCACAATATCGCAAGACACTTTATCTGGGAGTTTTGTACTCCATATCTACACCGCCAGAGTGACAGAATGGGGAGCTGGTCTTCAGCGAGACGAGGTGCAGCCTACCAAACCACAGACTTCCAGTAAACTCGAGAAGAGGAAGCAGGGAGTCTCCCCAGCCTCTCTGGGGCTCAGGCTCGTACGGTCTCAAGGAGGCAAGCCGCTTCGCTACCGGCTGCGCTCGTAACAGGAGAAACAAAACCCAGTACTTCGCAACTTTTTCGACACCCTGTTCCAGCACTGACACCACTTTATAAATATGAGCAGGGACAGTGCCAATTAAACTGTCTTCTCCTCTCATCTGTCAAATAACAATAAAAAAGTGCTACATTTGCATTTCTAACATGTTCCTGCTGGCTAGCTGTCAGGGTAGCTACTCTGAGGAACGGCTGGCACGCGGGGGGAGAGGATGTGATGAAACACAGCAGGGGCAGCACAGAGCTGCAGGAAATCTTTTACTTGCTATCTCTGGAAACAGATAATCAACTAGAAATAAGTAGGAAGAAAGTTCTCCTCTTTGTTATTATAGACCATCAAAATATATGGGAATGCATTCCCTTATTGCTTTGTCACCATTGGTCAGGTACAATTGAAAGATCTGGTTGTATTAACACCTCTCAGTACTTTATAAAACACAAACTGGTACTCAGCAACCATAATTTATACCACTGGATCATCTTTCATAAGCTATCCACCTTCTCATGATCTGATTATTTATTTTTCCTTGCACCTTGACAACAACTTTTTTATTTTCGGTTTTGCACTCACCTCAGTAACATTCATCACTTTGATTGCTGCTAGCTGCCCAGTCTTAACATGGCGACCCTGGTAAAATAACAAAAGACTGTAAGTAAAACATGTATGCAAACTATGTATACAGTAACAAATTAGGCATATACCAACTGGGCTTGAGTACTTGCTTTCACTCATGTATCAACCTTTCAGAGACACAGAACTACTAAGGTGAAGTCTGGGGATGTGTTACCAGACCCATACCCTTACCACGCTCCAAAGTTAACCGAGTTACCTTTGCAGGGCTGAATTTCCCCCTTTAGCACTAAGCGAGCAGCAATGCTGGGAGACCTCTGCTGTCAGAGCACAACACGGTATGAGTTTATGGGTCTCCATCCAACTCCTGTTCAACAGGCGTTGCTGCCCCTCAACCCTCCTCTTCTAGGAACTCTCAGCCCAGGGTGACCTAACCAGAACACCCTTCTCGTCCTGCAAGCCGGGGCTGACGCGTGCTGGGGAAGCAAGGCGCTGGCTAGCTGGCACTGTCCCCACCTCCCCACCCCACACGTTCCGGCTCACCTCAGGGTAAAGACAAAACTCTGGGTTTCAGTACATCAATCTGGCAACCTGTATGTGGCTGCCAAGAAACTAAAGCTGTACGTACTGTCTTTTCCTTTTTTTTTTTTTAAAAAAAAAAAAAGGCTTTTTACTGTGAAATGCTTAGTTTTTTAAATTCTTACTGTAGCTGAGTTAACTATACCTCAGCCACCTCCCAAAAAGCATGCAGAGGCTTTGTATTTAAAATGTAATCTTCTACGGTGGTGGGGAGGAACTCTCCCAGGGCTTTGACTGCGTGTGTGCCTACATACGTACACACGCTTCACTAGTAAATTGCCCACACCCCACAATCGTTATTAAGCAACAGATAACTGGTAATTTTAGACTAGGTAAGTGGCTAGTTTTTGAAAACAAAGCTAGGAAAAAGGAGGTAATAGGGAATAAAGCTATTAAAAGAGCAAACTTGATACTGAGACTGACAAAATGTGGTTCACAAGAACGTATATTAGAAACTCAACCAGGAATCTTGCTGTAAACTGCACAGTTTCTTGGCTTGGTTAGATCAAGTCGCTCAACAGATGCCATAGATGCAATGTTCTGCCATGATAACCAACACTAATCTTATACTGGAGGATAGTATCAAAAGATTTGTATGAACAGTGGATTGGCTAGACATCCTAACTCCTCACTTCCATCAAATGCTCCAAAATGGGTTTGAAGCTTTGAGACTGCAATTTTGTTCCTGAAATAGTAGTGCCTGCAAAGCTGTATATCGAAATAACTAACTGACATCAGTTAAGTAAGCCATAGGAAATCAGGAAATAAAATGTGAAATGCTGCAGTTTGCAGACAAAATGATTTGCAGGTGCAATTTACACCTGCAAAATTAAAAGCTAGGTTGATGTAATTTTAAAACCCAGGTCCTATCTGCACAAAATTGCATATGAGTGTTATTTCTAAGACTAAGCAATTTCGCATCAAAGAAAAATGATTCCTCACTCTCAGGCAATATGTCACAGTCATGTTTTCTGTTACAGAAAACTAAATCCTGCTGAGTTTTTGTGTATTTATAAGTGTCCTCTTTCCGTGGAAGCACTCCTGGGATTGCAAAGCTTTTTCTCATAAAGTAAAATGATAGGATTTCTGTATTATCGCAGACCTCAGGAGGAAGACAAATGGGACACACCCTCACCAGGCCCACCACACACACACCCTACCACGGCCGAGTGCAGACGGGCAGTGACAAGTGCTAGTCCAACAGATGCCGGTGTTTGGTCAGCATCCATCCCAGCTGACGTCAATCCCCGTTAGCAAGCTTCCTCTGCACAGCCACGGCTCCTTTGTTGGAGGCCATTGTTTGCAAATGTTTCCAGGCATTGAATGTCTTGGCAATATAGCGAGAGAGGGCCTTCCACAAAATACAGTCATGCTAGACACGCTGGCACCCTGATTTAACTCCAGTGTTTGTCTGGAGTCAAGTACGCTGATAATTCCACATCTCCGGCCACCACACATAGCAGACGACCAACCCATCGAAACGACGAGTCTCTCCTGGGCTGCTGTACATTCTGCAAAGGATGATGTCAAGAATCAACACTGATTTTCATAATTAAAGTGAAGCATGGAGATGTGCGTCTTTACTGAAAAAATAAATCAATCAATACTTGGCCAGCATTGCACTTGATATTAAATATTCCTAAGAATAAGGAAGGGGGAGAGGCTTGGCATTCAGTTTTGGTTTCAAAGCATGATACCTGGTCAAATTGCCCCTCTGTGTAACAGACATCTGTTATTTTGCAGCCACAATTATTTCCACTGCGTGCAAACCTGCTGCTCTCACTCGCTTTTACCATTGCAAATGAGAATACTAAATCCCCCCAAAAAGATTTGGAAAAAATAGTATGGGAAAGAAAACAGCAAGCCCTTTTGTTTTGTGGGTCGTGATTCACCTTTGCACAACAAATGTGTCCCCGTTAGCTGAGATGCACAACTCGATCCCGCTCCCGCATTCCTAAAAGCTCCCATGTCTGCAGCTGGGCTGACCGCTGGACAAGACGGGATGAGCCTGCGCAGAGAGAGCGGAATCATGCCTGGTGCTTTGTCTCAGTGCCCCATCTTCCTCACACCGTGCAAAGTCACTACTACCCTGAGGGAAATGCATAGGCTCATGTCCAAACATCCCTCTGCACAGGCTCACCTCCAATAAATACTCTCTGGCTGGGTAAAGCAGCCTTTACATGGAAGTAAATTCTGTTAACTACATGCATTTCACACCCTTATGTTCTTTTAGACCGCTTTATCCTGGAACAAAACAGAGAGTGGTTCAATCCACCAGAGAATCCAAACCCTTCTCAAGAGGCTGAAAAGAAAGGAGCAGTAAAAACTCATTCCTGTTGGTTTGCTCTAATTCTCAACTCACAACAATTTATTTTCAACGACTGTTATCACACCTTTTGAAAAGAGTCTTCCACGTTTCTTGGTTCTACCAAGCTGGAGAACCTCACCTTCCCCCCCGCCCCACCAGTTTGTGCAGGGTAATGCAGAGGGCTGCAGGTTAACCTCATGAAAAGGTGTAAACATATCTATATATTTACATCTGCCTTTCATCATTTATCTAAAAGGGATGAATTAGTTTAAAAGTGCATATTGGAAAAAAAAAGTATCTTGGAGAGTATAGCTAAGTATGTATCTACAGCTATATATCTATATAAAAACATTTTCATCATGAGATACTAATTTTACTGCCATCTTGGCAGATTTATTTTTGATTACAGTTGTACATTTTCCCAAAGTAAAGGATTCGTCATTATCGTAGAGCAATACATCTCAAAGTCTCTGCACCTGCTAATGTATGCAACAATGTGGCAGAATTACACAGCACACACCATCATTTCTCCTTACCTCTGACATCATCCCAACACACACAAATAAAACCTTTCCTTTAAATACTGCCGAAGGAAAAGTTTCAGTCAGTGGAGACCAAATAATCCGAGAACGCTGGAGACATCCTAAATTTTATTCCTTCTCCTCCCCAGGACTTCGCTGTCTATTCAGTTAGTTACAAAAACAAGAGGCAGCAGCAAAGCCACCCAACAGCTCACCCGAAGACCAGCAGTCCCTGTAAGCAGTGGCTGCACACTGGCACCCTACTGAACTCGGCACCGCCACCCAAAAAAGCGAGTATGCTATCGCAAGACTCCACACTAAGAGGGCTGAAGCTTTCAGAGGACACGCGTGCTCATGCGGAGAAGAACCATCAATGCCTGTGCAGCTTATCTGAGCAGGGTAACACGCGCCACGTTGCACTTGCTTTAATGCACAGACTGCGACTGTGCTGGCAGTCATAACAAAAATCACAGGTTTCTCTCCTTTACATTGGTTTTTCAAACTGTTTCGCGCTCATTTTCCTTGACATCTCTAAAAGCAGTAAACATCCTGAATCCAGCCCTGGGCATCTTGTTGACATACTGACACTAGTGCCTAAGTAAGGAAAGGTTTCAGGGCCTGGCCCCTTATTTTTTCATTTATCAATAAATCTCAGAGGTTAGCCAGAGTTCATGGGAACTCATACATTGCTACTTTTGCTGAAGCCACAAGGTTGAGCATGTTTGAATTGTTTTCAGAAAGGTGGTGTTTTGATTTTTGTTCAAAGCTCCTAGGAGCAACTGGCTGTTTTAACTGTTTCCCAACCAAATGAGATCAACAGCTGCATTTACTTCCAGTGACGAGACACGCAGAAGTTCATCCTTTTTGATTTAATCCAAAACGGGAGGGAGAACAAGGGGCATTGCCCTCCCAACCCTCTGTGCAATCCGCCACTGCCCATCCTCTCCAGATCATTAAAAGGAATCAGCCTCTTGTGATTCAAGATCCTCCGGTGCACATCTCCTCAGAAACTGGGCAGAGGGCAGGAATAGTCTGTGGGCTCGTTTCCTAATAAAAGGTTTCATCTTTCACCTAAATGCTCAGTTTGAGAGCAGGTTTCAATGCTGGAGAATGCAGCCAAAACATCCAACAGCCATCTGCAAGTCATCCATATTCCCACCCAAGAATATAGCGTTGAACGCTATCAAGCTCATACAGAGCTCAGACATGAACAATTCTGAAGCTCAATGACTTTCTAAAATTGAAGTTCTTGCCTACATTTTGATGAGGTATCCAAGCTGGAAGAAATTCTCCCACTAGCTTTGAGTCCAGCTAAATTCCCTATCTCCTCCAGAAAGTATTTCCGCATAAAGTCTGCTGCAGTTGCCAGTTCATCACTACAGTAACATGCAGCAAACCTGGAGCCAGCATACACATTTTTCAAATCTGCATACTGCTCATTGCAGCCACATTTGTGGAAGCTGCTTTATGCCAAAGATCTGATGAGCTCCAACCATACATTATTTCTGCAGGGAGATATATGTGGAATAGGACAGATCGCCCAGTGTTATTTCTATTGGATATGTATTTATCTTTTTAGCTCAATTAGATAAAGGAACTGCTTATCTATGCCCTCTACTGAGGGTCAAGACATGTTCTATTTACATCAAACAAGAATATCAGCATTAGCGGTCAAGCTATTAGCTGATAAAGGGGCTTTACATGCATTAAGTATATTTACAAAAAGATGCATTCAGTCATGTACAACACCTTTTCCTGTTAGGTCCAAACAAAAATTTGGGGCGGTCCAGGGCTTGGGCCGCGATTACAACCAGAGACCCAAGGTCCCAGTGACACACACCTGAGATTGTAAGGCTGCGGGTGACATGCAGAGAGCTTGGTTTGACAGCTTCCCTCCCAGCTCCTGCACAGCCCTCTCTTCCTAGGGCTGGCAAACAGCTCCCATCAGCTTCTTTCCCCACTTGCGATCCGACAGATTTGAAGCGGACAATTGCATGTCCAGACGATACAACCCAGCTGTCCTGTTACAGCGCTGCGCACCATGCCAAGGCGGCCCACGGCAGTCCCATCGCACGCTTCCTTTTTGGCAACAGGCGCTCATTAATGTCCACGTGTTTCTGGGTCTGTCTGATGTAGCTGTCCCCATTTAACCGCAGCAGGAAAAAGCGCATGTGAAGGGCAGGGACTGCCTGCTGCAGGATGCCAAGGCAGCATGAAGCTAGTGGTTTTGACTATGCAAAAGTCCCCATCTGTGTCCACGTCCTGTCTGCAACCAGAAGCACAACCTCACTTTTCTCTCCCTTAAAAAGCAGCGGTTTTGGCGAGGCTGTGAGGTGCCTATGTGCAGGGATACCTCCCAGATGCCTGGGACGCTCGCCGGTTTGCACCTCTCTGCCCACGCAGAGGGCAATTTCACGTGGAACACACTCTGCCATCAGGCACACGCGTGTGCAGTGCACTTGGGCTGTGCACAGACGCAAACAGCTCACAACATCTGCACAAGGCTGCGGGACTCCCCGGTGACCCTTCGCAGCACTGCCTGCCGGTGTAATCCAGAAGGCTGGTAGATACCACAGACTTAACTCTCGGGACCTGCTCTGGATATTGAAGGTTTGTAATTTGAAAGCAAGATCTGGCTGTTGGAGGTGGAGGGCTTTTGAGGCCAGAGAACTTTCTCACCCAGAAGCATTTATTACGGGATAACTGATGCAGGCTGTGGCCACCCGCCCTTTGTGAGCAGGGTGAAGGCACAGCTGTTTCACTGCAAGCTCTTACTGAAAGTGAACTTCAGCAAGCAGGTTTCCTGTTCAAAAGCCACTTACGAACTTTGAAGTTTGAGCCCATCTCGGGTAAATCAGTGTGTGGCCCTGCGGTTGCTGGTAGAGTGCCAGCTCAGCCTTCTATGCCCTGAAGGATGGGACCCCACCCTTTTGCCCCTCTCCTCTCCACCCTTTCCATCACCCTTTCCATCCTGGTAACACAAGGAAAGCCTTTAAGAGACTTTGCATCAAATGAACAATGCTCTGCATAGGGATCCAGGAAACCCTATGTCCTATTCCACATGACCTTAACAAAGTCATGATCCTTCTGTTTCCCTTTCCACCTACATAGCGCTTTTCTACTTAGACCCAGCTCTTCAGAAGAGATGAGCAACATTTGCTATCACCAGCCCAGAGCCAGCTTGGAAACACCAGCTTTGCCTGCTCACACTGCAGGCAGGCAAGGGCAGCCTCCCATGCAGCTGCAGCGTGCTCCCCAGAGCACGCCGGTGGGTTAGCATGGCAGGGAGGAGGACCCCAAGAACAAAAAACCCACAGGTACGCTGCTCTTGCGCTGCGGCTTAGACACAGCCGCTGTTTTACAGCTGCTCGCAACGGACATCCTGCTGTCCCTTGGGGTCTTGGCTAATGTAAACAAGTGGACAGGGTTTGCACATCTGGGGCTGTAGTGTTTTAGTGCTGAGAAGTGTCACCCAAGAAGACAGTTTATAGGAGAGCTCTATGAGGAAGACCAGTCTGTAATCCTGGTCTTGGCAACTGGTACCACGTGAGACAACCCACTGGAGTCATGGACGGAGCTCTTCAGCTAAAAATACAGCAGTAATGCAAAACTTGAAAGGGGACAGGAATAAATTCCAAGGAAGAAGTTATTAAGAGCTTGGAAGCTATAGCTTGTTTTTGTTAGTTAATGGTCTGAGGAAGAGCTCAGGGTCAGTCGTGCACTGAATACTAGCACTGGATTTCATTGTAAACTATGACATGTAATCCACATCAATTCTGATAGTTTCAAAAAAAAAACCAAACACAAAAAACCCCAACCCACCACAAGACACATCAGCCTTGGGCAGGCAATTAGCAGTTTCAGAAAATCTCTTTTTTTTTTTTTAAACCCCCGTGAAGAATTCAGGACACCAGCCAGGTGGGAATGTGGCTATAATTTTGATTACAGCTTCATCCTTTTAATCACGCAACTCAGGCTGCAGAAAGCCTACTTTGATTGACATTATAAAGTTTTGGTGGCACTTCTGTCACAAAGTCTCTGGATGTCTGCTGTACTTTGGGGCTGTAAATCACAGAACTGTATTCCCCTAGAGCATTTCTTCTCTTCTTTGTGATACTGGGAGATGCTGAGATTTGGAAGCCTGGGCCTTGCTCCAGGTCACCTCTAGAGTAGCCCTCAGCTCCACCTCCCAGCTGGAGCACACCCTCCTTTCCTTGCAAGTGACTGCTTTCATGCCAGCGGTGCAGGATGCAGGGACTTCCGTAAAACCGCAACCCAGCTGCATTGCCTAAATGCTGACCATGTGGATGCAAGACATTTGCCCTTTCACCGCCACATTTGGCACCCAACTTCCAGACAGTCCTAGGTCTCACCCAAAAACACTTGGCCAGCATAGCAGATGTTGCATTTCCCCTTCCCTATCCTCCACAAACACCCTCTTTCAACGGCAACTGGATAGCTTTCTCTGCCAGTAACTCTGTGCTATCGAGAGGAAGAGCACGCAGCAGACCGCAGCATCAGAACAAGCTCCTGAGATTACTGCTTCAGCAACGTAAGGGGCCTCCGTTGCTCTCAGACTATTCAACACTAGACACCGCCAGTTAGTCCCTTAGGTTGTAATGGGACTGCTTTTTTGACTTAGACTTAACGTTGCCTTCAGAACTGACCATAGATGTTTTCCTACCAGGGAAGGTAAAGCTAAACCTAAACACTACAAAATACAATCACCCTTACACACAGCTGGTCAGTGGCGAACGCTATAAATATTAATACACTGTAAATAATCAAGACATGCTCTTCAAGGTTTATGGGGGTTTTTTTCTCTCCTATATGCTAATTCCCACTCTACTTTATGATTAGATATGTTCCAAGAAGGTAGCTAAGATTTATCACTATACTATGAAGTCGAACATTACTTAGCATGCCCCAGAACTCGGGTTATAAAACATTAACAGTAAAATCTAACGAGTCTGCATGAAGATATATAAAGAGCAAAAGTTAATTAATAACACTCAGTGCACTTTAAGACAAAACATATTACATTAATGAAGAAATATTAGAGATATATACTATTTATAAAGAAATGAAAAATTGTTCCACAAAAAAAAAGTTATACTGCACTCCAAATGAAAAAGGATAATTTTGTAAAGGTTAGGAAATTTATATAGCAAAAATGACTTGAATATTCAGTGAAAAACAGGTTCCTTTCCTAGCAACCACCACTGCCCTATTCCTGGGCAGAACAGGTCGTTCTATCCCTCCCACTGCTTCTCTCTCTCCCCGCTCATCTCAGAAGTGGGTAAGTATTTTGCACTCACTCGAAGTGAAAATACTAGTTTTATAAAGTTTTTTTCAATGAAGTTTTAGATGTTTCAGGGGTAAGACGTTAAAAAAAAAAAAAAATCAGGAATTTCTCTCAGGGCCCCTATTTGTGTCACATGCTTAAACAAACAAAAATATCACTGGAACTCGTAACACTACAGAAGACAACTAAGTTGGCAGTGGTAGAGGAGGACTTCCCATATACTAAAAAAGCAACACATTAGCCAAGAGAAGAGATTAAAACATATAACTTCTATCAATCACTTAAAATTCTACCCAAGTCCACACTGGCTAGAAGGGAGGGATGGAGAGGGGTCATTTCAACAGTACCAGATCAAACAACCTTGATCTCTGGAGGAAAAGGACAGTTTTTCACCCCTACTGCAAGTGTCTATACCACAGCCCTCATGAACTGTAAAACCCAAGAGGCACCAGAAGCAGTTTTTTCTGTCCGTTTTTTGTTTTGGTTTGGTTTTTTATCCTTTCAGTTCCTATTTCCTCCCATTGTACAAGTGGAAACGCAGATTGTTTGCTTTGCCTAATGTTTGTCTGTGCCTGACTGCAGACCAGTGGGAAAAGAAAATGAAACAAAGGAACAAATTCAAGCCCTTTTGCAAACACATATTTGAGTACCTACATTTTTGCAGTATCAGTATGTTCGGTTGATCAGATTACCATCCTTATGCAAAACACGAACCACTCAAGGCTACTGCATACTTGCATAAAACGGGACTAGAGACTGATCTTTTGGGATTTTGAAACCTGCTCCCAAAGAGGTCATTCATGTCGTGATTAGCAAGATCAAGCAAAGCACTAAGCACTTTTGAAAATACCACGCTAGTCATAATATGAAGAAAGGAATTTTGTTCTCTACTTATTTGAAATGGGTGGTGTCTGCAGCAGAACATCCCATGTAATCTTCTGCAGCTCCATGCTCATTTGGAGAAATCTGGAAAGTACCCATTCCTGCGGCTTCTCCTTATTCAGCTAACGTGTGGACATGATGCCTTAGATATCCTACTGCCATTTGAAATTTCTGAACAACGAGAACAATGTGCAAGAAGGAAGAGCAGGAGCATTCCTCCCGGGGCAGGTAAAATCACGGTGGCCCTTGGTGGGTAACAGCGGGAAATGGAGAGCTGCAGCACACAGCGCAGCATGCAGCTCGGAAAGCTAACTTCACAGCCTGCCACCGCTGCCGCGCTCGGCGCTGGCTGGGGATACGCTGGGTTACCGAAGGCGTACCGTTACTCCTGGTGAAGGAGCAGACTCCCATCGACTTCAACAGAGCTGGATCTGGCCCAATCTGTTTTGTATCTGGAGATACTTCAGGAAGGTCTAAGGGGAAGACAAACACTGGGAAGTTCTAGCTGTCCTCTTTTCGGGAAGTCTCCAGGTGCTTTAGCGATAACGGCAAGGCCCCCGAACTCCCACGGTTTCTCATCACACACCCAAAGCAAAGCATGCGCTTTGCCAAGCGGCCTGAATGGGAGCTGCTACCAGCAGGGAAAGAAAAGCCACGTTTTGGGGCCATACGTGGGTCAAGAAAGCAACTCAGACAGCAGCACAGTGAAAGGGAGGAGAGGTCTGAAAAGCAGGCTGTGCAGTTATCCCCTTTCCCTCACACTCCATTTATTGGGACATAAAACCTGATTTCTTTGATCCTGAATTTCAGTATTTGCACAAGTAACAGTTTCAACAGCCTTGCCATTCATCCTGGGCTTTGGCATTTGTCACGCCTCTTAACATCTGTTGAAAGATGCTGTTGGGTTTCCAGCCTCAGACACCCCATCGCGGCTGGCCACCCCTGCCAGGGGTGCGGAGGCTTCGCAGGCACAGGCGGCTTTCC